ACGATCGAAAGTTTATTCCAAACTTAAGTGAAAATATGCAAGCTATTATTAATCTCACAAGAGCTAATGTACCCTTTAATTGGACTGAAGAATGTGAACGAGATTTTCAATTGGTGAAGGAGGAAATGATGTCAGAGAATATACTATGCCATTTTGACCCACACTTACCACTCATTCTAGCAACAGATGCTAGTCAATCTGGAATTTCGGCAATTCTTTCTCATGTGCTTCCGGATGGAAACGAAAGACCTGTTGCATTTGCTTCCATAACACTATCACAAACACAAAAACAGTACAGTGTCATACAAAAAGAAGCCCTGGCAATTTATTTTGGAGTTAAACACTTTTACCAATACCTTTTATGGACGTCATTTTACCCTAGTTACGGACCACAAACCCCTGGTATCAATATTTGGACCGAAAAATGGAATACCACATATGGCCGCAACAAGACTACAACATTATGCCATATTCCTTCAGGCATTTTCATTTGACATAAAGTATAAATAAACCAAAGACAATGTTAATGCTGATGCACTTTCAAGACTACCTAAAAATGTTGAAGAAGCTGCTGTTATTGACTCAGCTGATGTTCATGAAATAGAACAAATCTATACTTTACCTGTCACAGCTGAAGAAATAGCAAAAAATACACAATCTGATCCAGATCTTAGAGATATTTATCAATCACTAATCAGAGGGGAGCCAATCCATCACCCGATGTCTTCTAACGAACAAGAATGGTCAATTCAGCTTGGATGCTTATTAAAAGGGAATCGTGTGGTGATTCCCAAACAACTTCGTGCAAGAATTTTGAAAGAACTTCATGAGGCTCATGTGGGTATAGTTCGCATGAAGGGACTAGCTCGTTCGTATGTTTGGTGGCCTAAAATTGATGCAGACATTGATAATATGACCTTAAATTGTTTGGGATGTCGACGAGTACAGCATGAATCACCCAAAGCACCAGTTCACCATTGGGAATATCCTTCAAGGCCTATGCAAAGAATTCATGTTGATTTTGCTGGACCATTTTATGGCCATTATTTTCTCCTAATTGTGGATGCCTACAGTAAATGGCCAGAAATTGTAACACTTACAACTATAAATTCACATAAAACCATTTGAGGCTTTGCGTAAATTCTTCGGCTCCTTTGGAATCCCTGGCATATTAGTGTCTGACAACGGAAGGCAATTTGTTTCATTAGAGTTTGAAAAATTTCTTAAATCAAACGGAATTAGACACAAGAGATCAGCACCTTACCATCCTGCTACTAATGGTCAAGTAGAACGCTATGTGCAAGACTTGAAAGATACCATCAGAGCATTGCACTTTGAGGAAGGCTCTATCGAAATAAAATTACAGAGATATTTAATGGCCTATCGAAGAGCTCCACATAGTACTACAGGACAATCTCCTTCACATCTATTCATTGGACGTCAAATTCGATCAAGACTAGACTTATTGTATCCTGATTTGTCACAAAAAATGAACCGAAAGTTTGACCCAGACTGTGACAGGCAAAAGTCCTTTAAAGCTCAAGATCGTGACAGGCAAAAGTCCTTTAAAGCCCAAGACCCTGTCGCCTACCGCCTCTATGGAACCTGCAACAAATGGGGGTTCGGAAAGATCAACAAAAAAGGGCCAAGTTATGAAATAACCACAAGCAGTGGCCCAGTCAGACGACATCAAGACCAAATTAGACGCTCAGGGCGGGACTTGTGTGAGTTTTCATTAAGGAATGAGCAAAATCAAGTATTCATACCAACAAATTTTGGAGAAGTCAGAGAGGAACCCACTGAAGACCATGTAACAAATTATCACAACATTGATCCAGAGACCAATGATCCCAACATACCAGATGATCCAGAGACCAGTAACAACATATCAGATGTTCCAGTGGCACCAGCTTCCGCTATGACAGTGAGACGATCAAAACGGACACATAAACCCGTCAAAACGGACACATAAACCCGTCGATAGACTTAACTTATGAAACTCACTAAGAAGGGGAGGTGTTACATCCTAAATGTCTACCTTTACTTATTGCTTATTTATTCTATAACTATTATCAGCTGGTTATAATGTTTACTTGTTCACTTTGTTTTTAATTTGTGTTGAATAAAGTTGGTTAAAATTGTACTTTGACAAATACATTTATTATTTGTTCTAATTACATACAGAACATATCCGAACGTTCCCCTTTCTTTCTCATCTGCTCCCAGCGCATTTGCCACTCATCTAATGTCTCCTCTCTTCTGGCACTCTTGCTCTCCAACGTAGTCCTACCGGTGGCATTGTCTTCCAAAATAAAAATCCTTTCTTTAATGAGCAGGTTGAGTGGTATGGCTCTGGTCAAATCCCTATCATGCAATACTGTGTTGTATGATTTCCCTACTTTCAACAAAACTCTTCTTTGCATACTCAAAAGTTTCCTTTTCAATCTTATCTTCCTACAACCTTACTCCAGAACTCGCATCCGTAAAGCATTGCTGGCTCAACACCCTTCGCTAATTTTGCGAAGACTCCTATAATTTTTTTCACATTTCCTCGACATGTTTTTTCAAAAGTCATTCCTTTACCTACAGTCACTTCGTAATAAAGCCTGACGACATATCAAGATCCCTGTTTAACACAGCAATGGTGTTTTCCAGAATTTTTAGGACCTGCCCGTTCTACCTTCCGATATAATCAAATATTCTTTTCGAAGATGAAAAACATGTTTAAAACTAATATTAAAAAATTCTGATCATCTATAATAAACAATCACACAAAAGAATGCAGGTGCCATCCCTTACAGTTAATAAAATTGGATAAAAAATTACCGTTCCTTCGATATTGGTACTCTCCACTCATTAATATCCTGTTGTTTAGTTTCAGTAAAACAAAGATCTTTCAAATCACAATAAATAGTGTAACTGCTGTACTGTCAGTTGACTTTTAAAAATTCATTGAACCTTTACAAACATGTTTTGCAGTAAAAAATCTATTTATACTTATTTAATACGCAAGCAGGATTTTTGTGACAATTACTCCTCCGAAACTACTGAACCGATTGACATGTTTTTGGTGTCATTGGAAAGAGCGTAACGTGAAGTTGTGCAGGAAACTTTCTTTTTAGGTAAATAATTAGAGGGTGAGGCCCTGGGGCCCTTTGAAGTTTCATATTTCTCCATAAGATTAACATGGGAAACAAACATTGTTTTGAAACTCCAGCTGTTGTCAGAAATTAAATATTAATATTGTTCTCCATGGTAGCATGAGAAAATTCACCATGTTTACATTTGCTTTGACATATAAATGTAAACAACCAGAACTGTCAAATGCCTATTTTACAATTCCAGACAGCTGATCCAGAAAAATAAAATAACTATGTGGTAGGTTTATTTAATCTTAAACTTTATGATAGATTATTTATCATAAATCTATTTCAATGATTATGAAACAGATTTTTCCCGTTGCGAAGCAAAATTAAAAGTGAGAAGAAGAACACATGTTAATTGTAAACAGTCAATGTGCAATGTGTAAATTATCTATGTTGTATTAAAGATGTGTATAGTTTTGGATGTTGGTTTGTGTTTAATGATATAAATTATAGAATTTTTATTTTAAGGATTTGGCATATGAGTAAGCCTATGATAAATAACACCATTTCAGAGTTCTGCAAGTTTTTGAGTGGAGTTTAGTAGCCTGGCTAAATAACTTAGGTACGGTACTTAATAAAATTTGACAGCCTTTTTACGTAGACTTAAATTGTAAGCTTACCTTTTCCCGTCCATGGGCAGGTTGATTGTTATAAATTAACTCTTTAAACTGGAATAGGATTGTTATGTAAATTGTGAGTATTTTTATTTTGTTGACTACTAAAAACTACCTATTTAGTCGACTCTTTTAAAGTCATCGGAAATTGTGACTGTTATTAGTTTCTAAACGAGTTATTTGTTTATAAATAACGCCTGCACTTCTTTGCAATTGCTCGATTTCGAGCAACATGTACACTAGTAATTTTTAAACCACAAAAACACAGTACATTTTCATCTTTTGAACAAATCTAATAAATCCTTATATAGCTCATGTTTCCATTAATTTACATGCCACGACCTATCCAATGACACCTTAAACATGGTCATCGGATGCATGGCAGCTTCAAAACAATCATCACAAAATTCATGTTGGCTTATTATAGATACATTCAAACAAAAAGTTAATAGTTCTGCACCCCTGCTTTCAACAAAAGTGCATAATTCATCAACTTATTGACTTCATTTCTTTCAAATCCAAAATTTTTATAAAAAAACGAAATTGTGTTTGTTTTACCCTAAATAAATTTCTGGGAAATGGATTAGCATGTTAATAATTTTAGTGCATTACTGATCAAGTCATTGACTTGGATGGAAGGAACTAATATTATAGATATGAATGTTTGGATTGGAGTATGTCAATAACGTGAAAACTACTTGACCAATTGAGCAGATTCTTTTCATGAGTAGAGCCAATATAACCACAGGCTTAAAGGATATAGTCTGCTTTTATTTTAATGCTCTACTAGGGCTTTGCCCTGACAGTTAATTAAGTCCAATGTTGTTCTTCAATGTAACCAGGAAAAGCCTTTTGAAATGCCACTCAAACCTGTACAGCAATCAATAGTTTATTAATATTTATTAAATCAAACGGGCGAAGCCCACAGGTACCATATGGTGGCCTATATACCACATAGAGAGGTGAAATATGCACAATTTTGTTCCTTTAAAATTCTCTTTAGTTTGATATAGGGTACAACATGATTATGTTGGTTGGATCCAAACTTTTTTTAAATTCTCAAGCAAGTAAAAAAAAAAATACTTATTCTTGTGAGTTGCAAGTAAGAGCTGTCATATAGCCCTGGTTCCTTATTTGGACAATTCTAGGCTGGTTTTATTAATATAAGCTTTGATTAATTAAACTGTTTACAATGTGTAATGCTTGATCTTCAGCTCATACTAACTCTACTGTTTATTAGTTCACAGATATCAAATGGGGAAGTGTTGAGCAATCAAGACTTTCGTAATCTCTGCAATGTTCTCAAGTCTCAAATTCGCCATTTAGAACTGAGTGATCTCATTGAAACAGTCAAGTGTTTGGGGTATCTAGGAGTATCCTCAGATTCTAAAGTGATGAATGTTACTCTGGGATTGATCTCCAAGCAAGTCAACGATCTATCGTTGCAGCAGATCACATTTCTGGACTTTGTAATGGCAGATTTCAAACAAACACCGCTAGTGAAAGCTTTGAAAATCGCCCTTCCTATTGTATTTGAGGCTAGCTTGCAAACAAGATGCAACTTTGATAACATCTCATTAATGACGGACCTTTTATTTTTTGTTTACAAGAGAAAACATTTAGGAAAAAGCTATGACATATTACTTGATGCTCTAATTGAAAAAAGACATCAATTCACTCTCAAAGATGCAAAAAGTATAGTTTTATGCATCACTGAATCAAAGCATTATAATGACAATAACCACCTTCTTCTGCATCATTCACTTGATCACATATCAGATTCAATCCGTAAAATAGATTTTTATGAACTAGAAAACATACTCTACAAACTCTGCAAACGATTTGTTGAATCAAACAATGACACGTGTTACTACCATGAGGAATTTTGTAACGCTTGTGCTGAGATGGTAATTGAAAACAATTATGGATTTGAACAAACAACTTGGATTTTGAAAAAGCTAATTAAATTTGTAAGTATTTCTTTAGCTATAAAGTATCATTGTTGTTACAGGTGCTGAGTTTGTGTATTTATTTTTTTCTGTAATTCAGGGTGTCTAGTAGTCGGGAATGATGGGAATTAGTATTGAATTTCTGTATTCAAAATGGTCTATTTATTTTTTTCATTACTGCCACTTCAAAAATTTGTTATTTTGTTGCATGGTAGAAAAATCCCTTTCCATACTGTCTATGTCCCAAAAATCAGGAAGGAATCAAAATCTAACATCCCGAACTAAAAATAAAACCCGCCCATCCCTAATTTCAACAAAGCTTTTGGTAAAAAAAATTCCACTTCATCGTACAATTATACTTATCTACTCCCATAGCCACACATATCTAAAGAGATATTTGGCCGCACCAACAATGCCCCTTAATCTTTTTCTATCTTCTGCGTCTTCCTCAGTTGCTCCCATTCGTTCTAGTTCTCTCTTCACTTGGATCCACCACTTTTGCTTTGGCCTTCCTCTTGGTCTTCTTCCTTTGGGATTTCTCATTAAAACTTGTTACAGATTACTATCCTCCTCTCTTCTAAAAACGTTCCCAGCCCATCTAATTCTTCTACATTTAATTTCACAAACTACATCTAGATCCTTGTAGAGTTCTCTCAATTCCCTAAACTACCATTGACAATTACTATACACAAAATAGAATTCTGTTTATAGTCAATGATTATACCATTTACTAACGGTTGTAAATTAATGTTACTTTAATCAACATTAACTTTATTTGGCCTTGTACTATTTGCAAGATATTCTGCCAACTAAAATGTCATTGTTCAGTTAGTTCTTTTAAAGCTTACTAACACAGCTATTAATTAATAGCCCATACAGCCAATGGCAACTAAGGATAAGCGTCTAGGAGCCAGTGCAACTCCGAGGATCGTGGATCAGATCGGAAAACCCCCCACCACCGCTCCGTGCCGATAGCGTGACGTCAACCATTACCGCAACGATAAGGAGCAGAGTCATGAGCCTTGGCGGTATAGTGGATAGCGTGTCGGGCTGATAATCTGAAGGTGCCGGTTTGAATCCCGCTGGTTGCATTAACTTTTGTCAATTTTTTTTTTCATATTAGCAAGTTTGGTTGGTTTGGTTAGGTTATGACAGTTTAATTTTATAATAAACTAGCTGGCCCGACAGACGTCGTCCTGTCCTAATGTGGTTTTATATCAAATGCTTGTTCATTTTCAAGATGAGCTCGTTCGCATGGCTCAATCACGTCCTGGTTGAAGTTCGTTTCCTACGCTCACTCACCTTTAGGTTGGAGCTCGTTCGCTGCGCTCACTTGCCTTCAGGTTAGCTCGTTCGCTACGCTAACTCACCTCCAGGTTGAAGTTCGTTCGCTACGCTCACTCACCTTTTGGTTGCAAATTAGCTGTTGTCATAAATTTAAAAAAATAATAGTGCTGCACCCTGTTGGTAAACCTATTAACTTTTTAATGCTATTGAACATCACAGAATCAAATTGTTTAGTTGAACCAGCTGTTAAGATTCCCATGGAAACTCCAGAGCCACTGGGGCGGAGCCCTTTTAACGGATCTGCACCAAACTTCACACAAACCATCCTTGAATAATGCCTGAAAGTTTCATTACAATCTGTCTAGTGGTTTCGGAGTCCATAAAGGACAAACAAACATACATTGGATTTGATATATATAGAAAAATTATAAAATTGAATTTGAGACATTTATAATTTTATTTTTAGAACAGGACTATTTTTCCGATTAGTAAACCTTAAAGTTTTTCATTATCAGCAAGTTTGGTTAGTTTGAAATCTCTTCTGATGGAATTCAAAAAAAAAAACTACCAGAAATCAGACTCATCAACAAAATTAGATTTGAATCTTTCTCTAAATTAAGTAAGCTCAGTTAAATCTTTAGGCATCACAGTGGATCAAAAATTGATTTGGCAAAATCATATTGGTGAAGTTGTAAAAAAATTTAATAAAGCACATTTTATGTTCATTATTTTATCTATAGGCCTTATCTGTTGACATATCCACTCTTATGATGGTTTATTACGGTTATGTCTATCACTTTTTTAATTATGGTGTGATCTTCTGGGAAAATTCAGATAGGAGAAAAAAAGTTTTTAAAATGCAGAAGAGAATTATCCGTATTATATTTGTACTTAAAGGAAAAAAATCCTGTAAGAGTATTTTTGAAAATCACAAAATTCTGACTTTCCCCAGTATATACATATATAATTTGATTTTGTACATAAGACAAAATTTATCAAATTTTCCAAATAACTCTGATTTTCACAACTATAACACAAGACAAAAGAATAGCCTTACATACCCTAGACATAACACCTCCACCATTGAACATTCTCCATATTACTCTGGTATAAAATTGTATAATAGCCTGCCTAGCACCATAAAGGGTTAGACAGATTTTAAAAGATTTAAAACCAGTTTACTCAAATTGTTGTCAGATAAATGCTGCTACAAGATTGGGGACTTTTTCAATTAGCTATTAGTATGCAAATCAATAGTTAGTTGTAATTGTAATGGTTGAACCGTAAGTAGTTGTAGGGGAGAAAGTGTATAAATATAGATTATAGCTCTTAATTAATTAGTGCTGTAAATATGCCAAATGTATAGTTATGTTTATTCTTGACTTTACACAATTCATGTATAGAAATGTACTGTTTGAATAAAGGATTTTTTGATTTGATTTGATTTGGTTAGGTTATGACAGTTTAATTATATTTAATTTAAATTTAACCTACAAACAATACCTTTTGACAGCGACAGTGATAGAGATAAAAATGTTTCGCGAACAGTTAGGCTATGCTGATGCGCCGGTATGATTCGGAAGCGGACGACATGGTGGGGTGGAGGGGGCTGTTCTGATCCACGATCCTCGGAGTTGCACTGGATGCCTAGACGCTTGTCAACTAAGGGACCTATAGTTGTTGAACCTACCTAGTGGAATCCGAACTACATTTTTTTCTTGTAACAAATTGGTTTAATTATCAGGATAGTACTGCTGATAGTCGTAGTACTCACTAGTACTGGAGACTCTAATCCAAACCAGGGAGCTTCGTATCCACAGTGCATGCCTATAAATATACACAATTCGTGACCTCCTAGTAGCTGCATTACAGGACGACGACGCCGTCCCAGTTTATTTACACAACTTAAATTTTATTTATTTTTACCAAATAAAAATATACTTTGATAAAGCTTACTTAAATTAGGCTTTTTATTAGTAAATAAAATAAGTAAGTAGGAGATGGGGTGTTACATAAATCCAACCTAAAAATGTGTCTTTTAGAAATACTTAAGTAAATAATGTGATTAACCCTTAAGCGCTCACGCTTGTTTTTTTTCGCTGGAGCGTGCCCGGGGGTTTAGTGGACCCCCAAATAAAAATGGCTAAGCTCTTTAAACTTTAGACATAATATCTACTAGTGGAACCCCGTCGAAATCGACGGTTAATCTTGAGGTTTTATGTAAACTCAGCTAACTGCGTTGGATAGAGTGAAGTCATTAAAATCTTAGTTATATGAAGGGAGGATAAGCAATAATAATTATGACGATTGTGTTCCCTAAAAAACGTGATTGATGAATTCGTTTAACACAATATTTCCTACCATTCTTTTTATCGGCTTTAGGTTGCCCAAAAGGTTTTTTAGGAGTCTTATAATTATTTCTTCAGGTGTTTGTTTCATACCAAAGCCACTTTCACTATATGGGAGAATGAGTTCATATAATTAGTCCATCATGTTACGGAAAGAGTCAATATTTATTACTAACCACTAACTCCATCTGCTTTAGGAAAATCATTCAGATTGTATCCAGATTTATAAATAAATCTTCATATTTTTTTTAATAAAAATATCTGATTCGCCAGAAAGTAGTAACATTCTTACTTCGATCTCATCAATTTTAAATCCTTCTCTTGCCACATCGACCTATGTATTTAATCATCCTGTTCTTACTTGATAATTCATTAACTTATGGGGTAGTTTTGCCTTGGCCATATAGATCACATAAAGCTGTGCATGTATTTCGTGGATTGGAATGAACCATAATTGTAGGAAATTTTATCACAAATCTTGAACATTTGCGGAACCAAATCCATAACCTAGTCCAGCATTGGTAACAAATTATGCAAATGCGATGAGATGTGATGACACTGTTGTGTTTCTGAATGTTTTGTGTGTAGTGAGGTTTAGATGCGTTGTTCAACCTAGCTACATGTGTACATCAAAGTAAAAACTGTGTACACATTTTTTTTTAAATACCTGAATTGACATTAGTTCACTTACTTTACCAAAACCATAGACTCCGTAGTTAGTCTATTCCAAAACTTGAACACAGCTCTCATCCTCAACGTACTCATCTATGACACAATTTTCAACCCGATTATCAAAAACTGTTATACCAATAAATTAATCTCAGGTGTTCTTTCTTGAATTTAAAAATAAATGGTGATTGAAAGTAGGAAAATACCCCCGCCGCAGCAAACCTGCAGACTAAGCGAATTTCCATTTGCCTGATTGGATTTACACTAAAATGTATCCTTAAAAATATCACATTTATCCCTATTTAAATAGAATCAGTTTAACACATACTTAGGTTTGCTGCAACAGGGAGGGTAAAGGTGTTTTTTATGTAAAATGTTAATTGTTAGTAAGAAATAAAAACATGTTCCAAATTTGGGCAAAATATGTTAATAAACAAGCAAACTACAACAGTTTACTTATTCTCCATAAGAATAACATGGGGATTTTAAATTTGCAATTTTTTGGAATTTTCTCCGCAACCATTAGGCGCATTATAACGCTTCAATATACTAAATTATTTGTTTTTTTAAGCTCTACAAAATAGTTTTTAAAGAAATTGCGAAATTTGATGTTTTTTGGGTCAAAAATGGGAAAACCCCATTTTTACCCCATAAAACCCCCCATAAACCCCCGTTCCCATGGTCCGATCATGCTGGTTCGCGAACTCGTTCGAATAA